AAAACTATGAGGATAGTTATAATATATTAGTATATAGTATACATTAATGTCAAATGTAATATATGTCAAATAAAAAAACCTAGCTCCAACCGATCGGTCAATGCCCCTTAAATTTTGGGGTACAATCAAAATTAGCCCTGACGTATAAATTTACATTCAAATATTTTTAAACTCAGGGCCTGATGCAATGGTTGCAATGGTCCCTAATAACATTGTCTCGTCTTCCGCGGACCTTTTGGACACCGGTAAGGTTTAATTATTATATCATACAATTGTACAAAATATTATAAATTTACATTCAAATATTTTTAAACTCAGAGCCTGATGCAATGGTCCCTAATAACATTGTCTCGTCTTTTGGGCAGCGGTAAGGTTTAATTATTTGTTATCTATACCATACAATTGTACACAATATATTTATGTCTTATTTTATTTAAGATTCCAGCGAAGTGATCCTCGATAACAACACTTTACCACCTCGCATGGATACCTTGGCTTCACGTAGATTTCAATTATTTTGGTCCTGTCGTGCTTGAAATTCAAGCGTCTGAAGTTGCACCTGACTGAAATTAGTCCCTAAAATATTTACTTGCAATGCATTAGTAGTAATTTTAGGCAGGTACAACTTTATGCAGATGCTAACTTCAAGCACGACAACCTCATGCGAGTTTTGCCTATGCAAATTTACTTATTTACATTTGAAAATTCTTAGATTTCGACGCAATGACCTTTAATGACAACACTACATCACCATTTATGGATCCTTCAATTTCAAGTAAGTTTATTTTACCTTTTCTATTTAACTATGCAAAATTGGCACTTCGTTTTATTTACATTCGAATATTCCTAAATTAAGTTCCTGCCATTAACTTTAATTACAACGTTGTTTCGTCTCCTGTCGCAATGGACCCTAATTATGATTCTCGTCCCATTTTCTCGCCCTCCACGGGACGTCGTGCTAAGTCTCTCAAAAAAGAATTGTGTCGTTATTGTAACAAACGTTTCCGACATTTTAATGAATTGCAAGATCATGTTTACTCCAAACATAGAAGAGACCAAAATCGTAAGTCAGTTATTTAGTGTTATTTATACTGTATAACAACAAAATAACAAATATGTGCATTATAATCTGAATTAAGCCTAAAGTGCATATCGATACTTGTTATCTCGTAGTCACACACAATATTTAAAATGAAATAATAATTTTATTTTCACTTCTTTTCTAGCATACAAATGTTCAATTGAGGGATGTAAAAAGTTCAATAAACTTTTCTCCGGAAAAAACAGCTTTAGACGTCATTATAAAGATTTTCATTCTGACAAATCTCATCCTATCCTTAAAAAGAGAGGTATAAATCGACTTCGCCGAAAACCATTGCGCCGAAACATCCGATTTAGATCAAATTTATAACCTGTAGATGTTATGTTGGTAAATTCTACCAGACCTTTTAAAATAACACCTTATATCGCTATTTAATTTCTTGATTCTGGAAATATATACAAAAAAAAAGATTTACTTTTTAATTTTTCGATCCTGAAACGCAGAAAAAGTTATTTTCTTTGCTTTTAAAAAAAGTTATTTTTACATATTTTTTTTAAAAAAAAAAATTGAAAAAAATTGAAAAAAAAAACAAAAAAAAAAGCTATTTTTACTCTTTTTTTTTTAAACAAAATTATTTTTACTTCCTGTTTGCTCTTTTGATTCCGAAATACAAAAAGATTTTTTTAAGAGAAATTAAAGCTTACTGTATTTTAAAATCTTCAACAGTGGCCACCTAAAAATCTTATGTTCTTGTACAGAAATAAATAAATAATGTGCAACAATATTAACGTTAGTATTTTGACACAGAAATCCAACTTTCCCAGAAACGTATCTCATTAGACATATGTCCACAAGTTGATGGGTTATTTGTAAATAGCGATAATATTTATTATATAAAATTAATTATATAAAATTTAATTTCCACTATACAAAATGTATTTTTGGTGCTGTTATGCCTGAAAACTACCTCTTATGCGCTCAGTATAACGAATCTACTTTAGCAACGTATATGCTATTAATTAATTATTACTAACGTTTATGCTTAAGTAAATATAGGGTTTATTGCAGTTACGCTTTAGGCCGTTCGAAGTTGATTCTTCGGTTAACATCCCCCCCCCCCCCCCTCGGTAGCAGGGGGGACTTTCTCATTTTTCGGAAAAGCACGGGATTTTTCATGCAGCAGT